GAGGGCAGAGGAAGACAGGGAGTTGGGGGTGAGGATCGGGGAGCTAGGGTTTGGTGGCTGACTGGTTGCGAAGCCCGACGTTTACCACCGAAGAACTAGATCGTAAACAGAAAAGGATGAAAACACAAGAGAGGTGATGGTAGTCTTATGGTGGAGGCGGTAGCTGCGGGTCCTCGGTTTCTGTTACCATGGTTAGTCGGCGACGGGGCTCGCCGGGCTCTCCGAGGATTAGGTCCGTCTCTATCCTATGTCGCCTCCAGCGGTGGCATGTCTCCACCGCGGCACCACCAAACATGTGAGCGGGATTTGCAGCAATGCGGGTGGCGAAGACCGGTGGGCGGGCAGTGGTCGGACTCCTGAGTCCCGACCTCAACTCCAAATTAAATCAATTTCTAGAGTAACATTTGTGTTAAGTCAAACTGGTTTAAATTGAACCAAATTTAAAGAAAGAACATCAATATTAATAATAATTAAATTATATATCATGAAACGTATTTTTATAATGTATTTGTTTTATGTCATAGATATTGTTAACTTTTTTTCTAAAATAGGATACTTTAACTTAAATTGATTTGGAAAAGTTCAAATTACTACCCAAATATCCCTTATGTTCAGATAACCTTTCATCCAACATTTGCTTCGGTTTACTCCCTTTAACTATTTTATTAGTCGGTCCAATTTACCTCTTATCAAGATTTATCCTTTTCATTTCTCTACGTACAAGTACAAGTTGAATTTTAATTTTAAATTTTGTGAGGTTATAGTGGACACCATAAACCATTTTTAAAAATACATTACCAATTTTATATAGTATATTTAATATGATTTTATGTTTTGAATATTAATTTACTATTATATATCTGACCTATCAACATAATTATTATAAAAATTATGACATTTTTAAACATATAAATTATGGTGCTAGATATCCCCTCAAAAAAATAAATTAAAAATAAAAAATTAACTCAAATGTGGAGAGAAAAGACAAATCTTTGTTGATGTATAAATTGGAGCAATTGAAGTAACTGAGGGGACTAAACTGAACCAAACATAGTATTTTGGACCTTTTTCTAATTAACTTATTTTGGAACAGAGTATATATTAGCTATTTCGAATCACTTTAGGATAACGGGATTTGCATGAATATAGACCGTAAGTTGTAACGATGCGTCTTGCGTCCATGCTCTGCTTTCTTCAGCAACTCTGGTCATGTGTCCTTGATTTTTTTTGACACGATCTCCTTGAAAAATTCTATAAAAAATTAAACAGGCTTTTGTTTTTTTTAAGAAAAGATGAATAATGATATGGAAGATTTAGAGTATGTTTGGTTCAAGGCCGGCCAAGCAGCGAGATTCATCGGATCCAAACGTTCGGACCCGACCCTCCGCCGAACAGACTTTCCTACGCGCGAGAAACAAGGATCAACGAAGCGACGGTGCACGGGAACGAGGGCGCGGCACCCAAGCGCGGGAATCGGCGACTAGGAGCGACCCAGGTAAGTTATGTTGGTTTCTTTTTGTTTTTTTCTTATTCTTCTTATTTCTTTCTTTTCTTTTTTCTTTCTCTTTTTTCTTTTTGTGCTTCATTTTTTATTTTCTTTTATGTTTTATGTGATTTTTTATTATTCTTTTCTTTTTTTATTTTGTATGTTTTTAATTTCTTTTTTCTTGTCTTTTCTTTCCTTTTCTTTTCTTATTATGTTTTATTTCCTTTCTTCAATTTATCTTTTATTTTTTGTTTCATGATATTTTTCATTATTATTATTATTATTTACTTTGTATGTTCCCCTACACCTATTTTTCTTTTCAACTGCTTATTTTCATCTTAGTTTTTCTTTTTTCTTTTTTATTTCTTATATTTCTTTTTTCCTTTTCCTTTTTATTTTCTTATTTTCTATTCTGTGTTATTTTTCCTTAATTATTTATTTTATTTTTTATGTACATATTTATTTCTTATTTTCTTATATATTTTGTCATTTGTTATTCATGTTTTATGTGTGTTTTCTCTACTTTGCTATTCTTTTTTATTTTTTATATTAATTTTTTTTACTATAATTATTTATTTTGTTTGCTTTATTTTACTTTATTTTTATATTTTACTTTTATTTTGTATTTCTTTCTTTTCTCTTTTGTCTTTATGTTTTCTATATATTTTTTTCTATTTTTTTACCTAGTTAATTACTTTTTCATGTTTATTTTTTTTATTTTCTATATTCCATGAGATGCTATGTTCATACAATATAGATGTGATGTTCTATGATGTATTTTGCGATGTTCGCGTGGAATATAATATCATGTTCTATTATTTTTTTGTGATTTTCATGTAGTATACATGTGATGTTCTACGATTTTTTGTGATGTTCACGTGTTATATATGTGATGTTCTATGATTTTTTTTGTTCACGTGGTATACATATGATGTTCTATGATGTTTTATTATCTTCGCGTAGTATACATGTGATGTTCTCGTAGTATACATGTGGTGTTCTATGATGTTTTTTGTGGTGTTCTCGTAATATACATGTGATGTTATATGATGGTTTTTCTGATGTTCACGTAAATACATGTGATGTTCTATGGTTTTTTATGTTCATGTGGTATACAGGTGATGTTCTATTAATGTTTTTTGTGATGTTCGCGTAATATATATGTGATGTTCTCGTAGTATACAGGTGGTGTTCTATGATGTTTATATATATATATGTGTGTGATGTTCAATAATGTTTTTAGTGGTGTTCTATGGTGTTTTAGTGATGTTCACTTAGTATACATCCGATGTTCTATAATGTATTTTAGGATGTCTGAAGAGTATCCATGTGATGTTCTTTTAAATTTTTCTCTATTATGTGTTTTTTATTTTTTTTCTTAGGCATTGCTCTAGATTTTATTATTTTATTTATGTTATGTATTTATCTATTTTAATGTATATTATAATACCAGTTTCATGAATCTAAAACTAGAATATTGTTCTTCTAAATAGAGAATATTTTCGTACGAAGATGAAACATTATTTTCTGAACCTAGAACATCTTATCAATTCAATACAAAAATGTTCAATTTTTATAAGATAAATGTTCTTATTAATTTGTTATCTAAATGTATCCATGTGGGATCTTGTTTTGAAGAATTTATTGTAAAAAAACCGATGGTATAATTGGAATTTAATTTAGATCTTTAGTTTAACTGATATTACTTTTATTAGTACGTTGAAAGTTATGGGCATGCGTGGTGAGTGGAGTCGGTGAGGTGGGCCATGCTCGGGACCAAAGATGCGCTTGAGCCAACATCCACATGTGCATGCGGAAATTTTGGCGCCCCTTCCACCGGTAGCTGGTCTGCGCCGGACCACTGCTGCGGGAAATTTTGGCGCCCTTCCGCCGGCGCGGGGTACCGTCCGATTGGGCGGACTCTAGCAGCCCCCGCCAGGCAACCCACCTCTCATGCAACAATCTTTGTCGTTAGACGATCAAAATTGATGGCCTGAGATAGATGCCGGACCACACAACTCTGCCCAGGCATGAAACCAACAGTGAAAAACAAGGCGACATTCCGCGGTCGCCTAGGCGCGACTAGGCGCTGGGCGAAGGCCTCCCGAGGGGCCTAGGGGGTGAGGCGGACATCTAGGCGGTGGGCGAAGAGGACTGGTGGAGAAGGGACGCGTGGGGCGGCGCGGAGGTCGGGGAGGCGATGGGAGGAGCTAACGTGAGGCGTGGCGGTCGGTGGGTGAAGAGGGCGGCGTCAGGCGGTGGCGGCGGGCAGATCCGCCAAAGCAGGGACGCGTGGGGGCGGCGCGGACATCAGGCGGCGTTGGGTGAGGAGGTAACGTCGGCGGGGGCGGCAACGACTGGTGGGGAAGGAGGCGACGTCGGGCATCGGGCGATGGCGGCGGCGCGGGGCGAGCGACGGAAGCGAGCGCGAGCAGAGGAGGCTGGGAGGGTGAGAGACGGGGCTAGGAGGGGAGGGGAGGGGATAAGACTTGGGCGTGGGATACTTGGGCCGTTATTGGGCCTCTCCTCTTTCTCCCCATTCTATGACCATTAATCTGCTATTTTTTCCTTTTCTTTTACGTATTTATGCATATATTAGCTACCGCCTAGAAAAACGCCTTGAAACGCCTAATCCCGCCTAGGCGCGCCTAGGCTCTAGGCGGTGAGTCACCGCCTAGAGAGCGCCTAGCGCCTAGAAAAACATTGGAAACCAAACATACTCTTTTTTAGATAAAAAATTCCAATTGGTTTGAATAGAACGACTCGCTTGAACCCTGTGTCATCTAAAAAAAATTGGCGCCAGGAGAAAACGGGGGCGCCCCTCCGATTTTTGGAGACGAGATTTTATCCCAAATCTAGGGAAGAACTCCATCCCTATTTCTCAAAACCAAACAGCGAGACAAAATGAGATCTCATTTCACCCATGTCCTGTTACCAAACCAAACACTACCTGAGTTTCTAAGGGCGAAAGGGTTTACAATTTCAAATCTGAAAAAGATATCTATACAAATGAAAGGAATCACATACAGTACATAACTATAATTTACACATTTCAAATATCTTCCTAGAAGAATTACAAACATGTCAAATGTACGGTGAAGCCAGGACATTTCTCATAGAAAAATCCAACCACAAACGGCGAGGAAACAATATAAAGCCATCATTGGACAACATGTCAACATTCCAAGCTAATCCCAGCACTGCAGCAATCACATTATCAAGTACATGCTAACACTATCACTAATTCAGTTTCTATTTGCAGTTTTGCACAACTGGAGCTGTCAGTCTAAAAACAACAAATTCTGTGAGTCTAACACATTAGCACTTCCGTCGCAAACTATATGTCCATACATAGTTATCTAGAACGAAATTAATCTAGAACGAAGGGAGTACCAGTTACCCTTGTCACCTTCCAGAGTAGATAGCTACATGTTGCTGTTTCCAATACCGTTGTCTCATGCAATAACTCGAAAGCCACCTTCATCCCGTGCCTTGTCAACGAAACAAGCAAAAGCTAGATTGTTTGCAGTGGCACAGTACCTAGCACATGCACCTTAAGTGACAGGTCACCCTCTTCCTCTTCCTCGAACATGAAAGCACACACGTGTCCTGCTTCGATACGGTGGTTCTTGACGAAGAGGGGCCATCCACCAAGAAGCCTTAGTTCTCCATGGACCATTGAGAAGTTGAGCTTACTACCGAACAAGTCTCTGCCTGCAAAAACTTTGGTCTCAGACCCATAGGTACCCAGACGAGCGAATATGTATCGCTTACTAAACTGTCTTGAGAATGCCTACAAAACAATACCAGAGGAGGCATAGACAATCAGCACCAGGTCATGTTTTGGCATGCTTAGGTGTCGCACACAATGACACAACGTACCATGTCTCTTGACAACATTAGACTTCTTCATGGTGCAAATGTATGCTGGAATGCCAGAGCCACAGGTACTTGACAAACCAAGTGCACCTTCTTTTTGCTTCGGCGTAAGTCTTGTGCGGTCACCATACCATAGCTTGGGTTCCACAACTACAAAGTCAAAGGTGAGATCAGTTCTGCATGTGCATAGTCTACTGTCCTCTTGTTTCTTTATATAGATATGGAATAAATATTAAAACCAAACCTAGGTCCTTTTTTTTTGGAAAAAGTATAAATTACTCCCCTGCATAGGGAAGTTGTCTGGATTACCCCTACACAATTTTGTGTTCAATTTACCCCTACAAATCTTTTACTTGATCCAATCTATACCTTAATAAGATTTGTCTTTTTTGTTTCTCCCATAAAAGTTGATCTTTTAGTTCAAAAATTTTATAGGGTGATAGCAAATATCGTAACTTATGTTACAAAATACATTATAAAATTTTCATCATAATGTTTTCGTATAGTTTTGTATCAGTAGAAGGGCAGGCCTGGTGCAGTGGTGAGAGCTGTCTCACTGAGTCACCAGGTCGCGGGTTCGAAGCAGCCTCTCCGCAGATTTTGCGGGGGGAAGGCTTGCCTCGGTTTTTCCCTTCCCCAGACCCCACTCACGTGGGAGCCTCCGGCACTGGGTCTGCCCCCCTTTTTTTGTATCAGTAGAGTAAATTTATTACTAAGCTATCCAAAACAATGATGAAAATTTCATAATGCATTTTCTAACATAAATTATGATATTCTATCAGCCTACAAAATTTGAGCTCGAAACTCAAACTTATACATGGAGAAAAAAGAAAGAGAACTGGGTAGGTTGCACCAACTGAAACATCCGGAGAGGTAAAAAGAACACAAAATTAGTTTAGGGGTTATCCAGACAACTTTCCTGTGAGGAGTAATTCCTTTTTTTTTGCATCTAAACTATATGATGAAGCTGAATTAAATTCTTCAACATCAAGAAATTCCCTGTCACTCTCTAAGCAAACAATTAATTATGTCCTGTTTGTTGACACCTTCATTCAGAATCAAGCTCTAATGGCCTACTGGGCTTAGCAAATTTTTGAACTACAATTGTTCAAGTGCATTTGCGCTTTACTCAATCACCATAATCATTCACCAATCACCATTTCGACTCAAACCATCTCACAAAGGCATTCAATTTTGTTGACTGCAGTAAAACTGATCAGTGGTCACTTTCTCTTACTTATTTCTCCGTTACATATTGCATTCTAAATTATCATGGAGTTCAAATAATCCAGTTGTGAGTCAAGACACTAAGGGGGTGTTTGGTTGAGGAATCACCTCATCCTATATGAGGTGGTGCATGGTGCATCATGAGTTCATCCCATGGTTTTGGTTGAATGACCTCCATTTGTCATAGTTATACTAATTATTAGCTTGTGAGGGATAAGGGGGGGGGGGGAGTCAACCCATTCTAGTCCACAAACCAAACAAAAGGGTGAGTGAGAAGGTGATGGATCACCCCATTAGTCAAACCAAACACACCCTAAGTCTATTCTACACCCTAGGTCGCCTCATTGGCTCAGACTACTTGCCCTTGGAATCTACAATAAGTCATCCTTTAACTAAAGCATTGAACTAATTAGGCGGAAAGGACTTAATAACAAAAACTGATCCACTAATTATCACTGACCTTGTGCAAAGCCAGTACTACTTTGGGCTTCCATCACTCTTCCTTTCGGTGGTGTCCGCTGATCTCCCTGACCCACAAATTTTATCAATAGCAAAGGTGATGTAGACTAGGCCCGATCTTCCGAAAGGTATGATAGCGTCGATTGGTGGAGACTCGACGTTCACGATCTAGGCTTCGAACCAAGACTGATCCGGACCCCCGCAACCGTTACACCACTGCTCCGTTGGTTATCAACCACGCGAACGCGATTGACCTCGCCGAGAAGGCCTTCCTGCAAGCGAATCGAGAACACAAGCAAGAACGGGATGAACGCAATCTGAAATTGCAAATAAATATGAGGCTTATGATAACGAGAATGAGTTCAAGTCTTTATTCGAAAGGACTAATCGCCACAAGCAAACAAGATCAAGAACTGGGGCCCTGGTTCACAGCAAACGGCCTTGGCGGCGACAGTTGCAGCAAAACGATGTCTGTTTCATGAGAAAATCAAGAACTAAACAAAACCCAAACCCTAAGGAGAGCGACAGCTGATAAATATAGAGTCTTGAGCGTCACCCCCTCTGGACGCGCCCCCTAATGGGCCCAAACACGATACACGGTTCAACGGACCAAATTACGGTGTCGCAGCACCCTAGCAGATTCTGGGCGCTGACTTGTGACCACGATTCCCGTTGATTCCGAACAGCTTTTGACGTGAGACCACTTGGATTGTCTTCCTTATCAAATTAGCTTTCCATCCATATGTGGATCGTCGAAAACGGAGTCCGGATGCATCTTGGGTGACCAGTTTAAGGCAAACTGGTCCTGGAACCCGAGATGGGCTCCAACTTCAGTTGGACTGGGCCTCCACCATGGAAAAGATGAATTGGACGCCCATGCTGGACCTCCTCCTCTCCTTGACTTGCGATGAAGTAGTGATGTCCTCATCAAAAGGCTTCCATAAGAGGCTACAATACAAATCTTTTTATTGACAGGAATGTAGAGAAGTACTGGCTGCACCCATCAGAAACACAAAGTCCAGAAATGGGATAAGCACCTCGGTAATTTTTCTCAGGTTCATAATCTCAGTCAGCGATACTCACGTCTAGGATTGGCACAGCTGCAGGTACGGCTTCTTCTGCTCCTGAAGCCCAACCGCCCCCTACTTCTCCATGAATACACACATAAAGTTAATTAAAAAATGGAACAAACATTAAACCTAAAGAGAGCAACTCGTAACCAAGGTTCTTATATTTCACAGTAACAGAGCATCCCTAGAGAGTAAGAGTTATTCTAGAGTGTGACATAAACATGCAATGAAGACAAAAAGGGATTCCGGGTACTTAGGTTTGGACGGTCAAGCAATCTTCCAAGTTCATAAGTGCAGCCCAGCTCAACCGCAAGGTGGTCTACAAACTAGTCACGAATAGGTAATGCCCACAGCAACGTGGACAGTCACGCTTACAACAAGAAAAAGGCATAGAAGAAAATAAGACTGCAACATTGGAAGCTCAGCAGCAATATTTTAATCTCCTTTGGAATGATGAATCAAACCAATCAACTGGGAGAACAAGGCGTTCAATTTGATACACAAGAACTACCAATTAGCAACAACACCATCACCCCAGAACCCTACTTAGAAGCCTGCTACAAAACCCACCAACAATTTGAATCACCTATTCTAACAAATCAAATCAAGAAAACAAATCAATTTCAGAACTGTAGGTCTGTAGCAACATCAAGATGCTCCCATTGGAATATTAAAAGATACAGTCCCTAACATTCTGAATCACCTAATGCAACAAACCGACTCAAAGAAAGAAACCAATTCCAAGATTTCCATCATAACACTCTAAGGTATAGCCTAACATTTTGAGTGACCTACTGCACCAAAGTCTCCCTGGAAAGAAAATCCAAAATCTTGCTATTGCAACATTTAAGCACACAATCCTCGGCATTCGATATCACCTATTGCAAAAAAAAAAATTGGCACACAAGTTTTCTTTTCTCGAAAACACAGGAGAGCTGCCCATCATTATATTAAGAAGAAAGAAAGGGGCTAGAGCCCTACAACACACGCCACACACACCCCTCAACTCAGAATTACATTCGCACCTGACAGTGGCAGACCAGCAGTGCTCCAGAGTGGCGACTTGGGTTGCCCTGTGCAGCCCTCACAGCATGCTGGTCTCCGTGACTGTTACCCAATCTTTTGGCCACTTTTTGGCATGCTGTCCTCCATGGCTATTCCCCAATCCTTTGGCCACTATCTGGCCCTCCGGTACTGGTGAAAATGCTCAGTGCTGTACCCCTTGACCAGATCCAGACTGGGGAGGGCTGCTAGAGCTTAGAGAGAGAGAGAGAGAGAGAGCACGCCATTGTTCCCTGAAGCTTGCAAGGGTTCCCAACGAAGATTCTTTGCAGGGGATTGAACTGCTACTGGCGGAGCTTGTCGATTTTTACGCCGGGCCACTATTACAACATATATACTGCCTGCACTAGGTTAAGGTACCGCTCACAGAGTTTTTTTGAGAATCGCTCACACAGAGTCTAAACTGAGTCTAATACCGAAAGATAACAAAACTAGCTTATAAATAGCAGAGAACTGGTTGTATAATTGACATAGGAGCAGGAGAAAAAAAAAAGGATTTTAGTCCTCTTCATTGCGCAACTCTATAAAAATCGATCTAATCAAATAATCATTCAACAATTCTTATATCGGGAAGGGTTCAACATTAACATAGAACTTAGATTCAAGAACTGAGAATGGGAAAAATTACCAAGACTCAGAAATCACAACAGTTGGTAGGAGACCAGGAGAGGGAGAGCAGACGAGACCCCCACGCGAACACACGGCCACGCCTGCCGGGCGCGGAGCCGCGGACACCAGGTCGCCGGCCGGCGGTCACAGCTCGCGCTCGCCCAGCCAATGCAGGCCGCCGGCCGCGGCCAGGCGCCGGACGACAGGAGCAGACGAGCAGGATGGCGGCCGGCGGGGACGCGGGGAGCCGCTGAGCCAGGGGCGCGGCCACGCGTGGTAGAGGACCGTGGCGGTCGGCGGGAGGGCGCCAGGGCGGACCGGTGGCTGGATAGGGTTAGCACTCGGCGCTCGCGAGTCGCGACGGAGTTCGGAGAGGAAGCGGAGCAAACGAACGGCAGCCGAACGGCCGAACAGGGACGAGCGCTCGCGATTTTAGGTAAAAAAAATGTATAGATTTTTTGTTTAGGAAAATAGATTATGTAGATGAGAAGAGAAATCAAACGATCGTAAAAAATGATTGATGGGTTTAAAAGGACCTTTTCAACTATGCCAGCAGCGGAGAAGAGGGTCCAAGAGATGGCCGAGTTGGGCCAAGAAAGTGAGATGGGCCGACGCTGGGTTTTGGTCCAAAATTATGCACGTGATTTGACGTTCTATTTCAAATTTCCAGTATTAAAAAACTAGGTTCGATTTCCATTCAACCGATCTGAGGCCTGTTCGAACACTAGGCCTGTTTTGAGTGGAAATCAATCCATTCAAAATCGATCTAAATCGAACCTAGTGTGCGGCCGCCTAACAACCGGGAATACAAAAAAGCCTGTCACGCCGTCGTCACGGCTCACGCGATCCAGGCACCGCCGAGCGAGACCACCCACACACTTGTCATCAGAAGAGGTTTGGGATCAGAATAAACAACCAGACACTCACCATGTTCACTTGTTGGTTTAGTCAGACTTATTCAACTAGCCAATAGTATTTTCTTCTCACAACAAATCAGCACCAGCCAACACAAACCAACCTAGAAACAAACCAGCGAACACGCCGACTAGCTCGTCGGTGCTGCCGCCTGCCGGTGCCTGGCGGCGTATTCGCCCAGCTTCGATATGTCTACTGACAAGGTTCCGCCACACCACACGCGGCCATCGTCGTTTGGTACACGTAGGCACGCGCGCGGGCAGGCAGGCTGCTGCCATGCCCACAAACAACTGTTCGTTTGACTTATAAACCGTATTTTTTCAGCTAACGAACAGTATTTTTCTCTCGTAACAAATTAGTTAACAGTATTTGTAGTCATGGCTTATAAGTCCCGCTGCTTGCAGGTCCATACGAGACAAGGTGACGCCAAACGAGAGCCATGGCCAATTGGCCATGCCACTGATGCCAAGACAGACGCGTTTCACGACCAGCGCGAGCCAAGCAGCAGAATTCACATGACACGACGAAATATCCACATCCATTTCTCTACACGAGTATACAGGTTGACAGAGGCAGATCAAGATGCGTTGCGTCGTCAACCTGAAAACCTGATGAGCGTAGCCTTTTGGATGCGTGCTATACATACTACTGCTCTGCTCTTCCTACGGCAGGGTGAGCGTCCGACGGACGATGATCCAACGAAGCAAGCTCGATCAGCTCAAGCCGCAGCCGCAGATCTCCGCGCGCAGAGGAAGAAGTTGCGAGAGCCCAGGTCCAGCACCTTCTCCTCCGGCCTCAAACCTGACAGAATTCCAAAGAAATCGACCGATCGTCAGTTGCCATACGATACGATACGATGCAATGAAACTCCATTCTTCAGAGAAGATGCAAGGGAAGCAAGAAAGGCGCCATGCCGCGTGCAAGCAAAGCAGAGGAAGCAGAACAGAGTCTAGGTTGGTGCACGTACTCTCGAGCGAGTACTTGTTGAGATGCAGCTCGAAGCCGTCCGCCGCGGCGGCGGCCGTCCCGGTCTGGAGCGGCGGGCGGCGGCCCTCGCGGACGTAGGCGGCGACGGCGGCGCGCATGAGGTCGGCGACGGTGGCGTCGGCGTCCAGCACGAGGTGGACGGGCCACAGGCTGCGGTCCACCGTCACGTTCACCAGCAGCTTCGTCAGCCGCCTGTCCCTGTCCGTCGGCGCCGGGCGAAACAGCGGCGCCATGCGCTGCAGCAGCAGGCGGTGGGGCTGTGTCTCTGGCTCGCCGCCGCCTCGATGCATCGGCGCCACCAGCGCTTGGGTGGAGCCGCTGCTGCCGGTCGGCATGGCGGGCTGGCTCGCTCTTGTAGGTGGTGTTGAGAACGCGCGGTCGATGGAGGTGAGTTCGTGCGTGCATGTGCGGCGGCGGTGTGGGGGGTGGTGGATGGAGACGGCGAGCGGGCGGGCGGGAAGATATAGGAGATACACCGAGTACTTGGTCGCCGCGGCGAGCGCGATTGTTAGGCAGGGCAGGGCACGCCTGCACCGGGTGACACTGACACGGCTAGTGTATCTGGACCACGTGTGGCTGGTTGCAGGGCATCACGTATGGCATAGCCGTGTGTTCGTGGCCAAACGAGTAATGGATTCCTACGACCACCACTGCTGCTTCATGCGCTGATGGGAAACAAGTTGACGGCCACAGAGTGCAGGCAGATAGGTGCTGTGGTGGTGCTCGATCGAGGGCCGCGCGAAGGCGAAGAGGCGAGACGGGAGTGGAGGAGTGCACAGGTGTCGCTTCGCGGGTGGACGCGACGCGACGCGGCTCGGCACGGCGCGGCGCTGGGCCTGCTGCACGCCACGTTCCGTTCCAAGACAAGACGACTACCGGCACCAGTAGCCGTCGTGTCCGCTGCTTTCGTCGAGTGCTAACCGGGGGAGGCGGTTGGCGCTGCCCTGCCTTCTGCCTACGTCGGCGAGTCGCGCTCGCGCGGACGACGAGACGCCGAACGGGTCTTGTCGTCTGGTCTGTCCCGTTCCGAGTCCGGCCGTTCGCCGCCTCATCCTCGGCTCGGCGCGGCGCGATGACCGATCCGAGTGCCTGGCCCGCCGCGCAACGGAATGGATGCCGTCGCTTTTCGTTTCCCCGTCCGGGCTCTGGCGGATCTTTCGGATCTGCCGTGGTTTGGACGGGTCGGCCGGCCGCCGTCCGAATCTGGTATGACGCCAGGGCTGCTTTCGCCGAGCAGCGGAGATGGGATTGGATGGAATCCCGGTTCTGCACCGGGGCACCACAGTCCACAGTCCACAGTCCACGTGTGCTCGTGTAGTGTACTCCTTGGTGTTGGCCGCGCAGGGGCGAGTCGTGCACGGCATCTGCTCTGGCCAAACTCCACGGGGGCACGGGACCGAAACGGCCTGCTCGGCAGTGATTTTCTACCGGTGCTCCGGCTGCAAGCCTACAGCTGCAAGCTAGTATGCTACCTGCTATATGCTACGTTAAATTGCTATATTCGGCTCCGCAACCCGCTGCTGCAGCGCAAGCCACAGCAAAGTTGTACCGGAGCACGCTGAAATTATAGAATTTTTTAACTCTTTTAGTATACTTATTTAATACAATTTTCATAACGGTACCATATATAAACAAAGGCCTTGGGTTTACAAGATTTTTGCGTTTTCGTCGCACGATTCTATCGAGAAATCGCCTTCTCGGTGCTACACTTCCTTAGTTCTGAATTACAACTTGTTTTAACTTTGTTTAAAGTACAATACCAATTATTGCCTGAATTCTCTATGGGACATGTGCTCATAACAGAATTATTTGAACTCGTAAATATTAATATTTTTAAAAAATCGCTAACTAAGTTTGACTTGTACATAGCTGGAGCTAAATACCGTTTGAAGTACATAATTTTACTCTTTCCAAAAAAAATCACTTCTGAATTTTCTAAGTCAAATTTTTTAAGTTTAGCCAAATTTATTGAAAAAACATCGGTAGCTATAAAACAAATTAATCCCATTAGATATATCATGAAATATATCATTGTAAATAGTTTGACTAAAGACAAGTCTCGTTTACTTTGGGTTAGACATATTTTGTGCCAACTCGTCAAATGGTACAATAGAGCGTTATTTTTTTGAAAAATATTTGTGAATTCACTTTTTTTTTTTAAAAAGATCTGTATGAAACGAAAGTGTATTAACAAATAAAGAAATAAGAAAACTCCACGGCTCGGTTTGATCTGATCTTGTGCCGGCCCAAATGTTTGTGTATACTGGTGTTGGTTATGGGCCGAAAACCTGAAAAGTCTACAATCCCTCACCGGTCGGGCCCATATATTTTTCTTCCTTTTCCTGCTCCCCCCCTCCATTCCAACCGACCTTACCTTCTCCAACTTTACAAAGCCGGCCCAGCCCAACCCAGGTCGAAGAGGCAACACGCCCTCTGCCTCTCGAATCTCTCCGACCCCGAGGGGCACCGGTCGGTCGCCGCCGGCGCTGCGGCCGCGAGGAACTTGCGTGGTGCGACACGCCCGGCTGCTTGGGCAACTCGGCGGAGCAGGCGGGCAGGCTCCCGCCGGCTGCTCTTCTAAGTTGGAACCTCTTCCGACGGGGGGTCAGGTCTCAGCTGATTGGGGATCCGGCACCGCATCGCCAGGAGGGGACAGTCAGCCATGGCAGCGAGGCAGCCGCCGCCTTCGTCCGCCTCCGCGCCCGCGGCGGGGCTCTCCATGAAGGAGTACCTCAAGAGGTACCAGTCGGGCCCGGGCGCTGACGGCGACCAGAAGAAGGCGAAGAAGAAGACGAAGAAGAAGCCCAAGCCAGCCGCCGGCGGAGGCGGGGTGCTCATCGTCGACGAGGACCCCGTGTGGCAGAAGCCCGTGCAGGTGGACGAGGAGCCCGCGTCGTCAGGTGCGTTGCCCTCTTGAACCCCCGAAACCCTAAATCGTAGCGCGAGTTCTGGATGGATTGGTGGTGAGATTTCTGAATTGCGGTCGCTCTCGTGGTTGCAGGTGACGAGAAGCCTCTGGTTGACGAGGATATCGAGGTCAAGCGGATGCGTCGCCTGGAGGCAATACGCGCAGCGAGGCCATACAATGCTATTGCCGAGGACGGCAGCGGGTGGGTTACCGTGGCCGCCCCGGAGGAGCAGGGTGGTGGGTCCACCTGCCAGCGCAGGAACGACACGCCGTCGCCAGAGCGGAGAGGTGCTACGAGGGAGGACCTTTCTCCTGTGCGGCGGAAGCAGCGGCGTGACACGCCCTTGCCTGTGCAGGGTGATGCTGCTGGCAAGGATTTTTCACCACCGAGGCAGAGGTGGAGGCGCCAGGACACGCCATCACCAAAGGGCAGTGGTGCAGGGGACCAGGATGATATGTCACCACCACGGAAGTCTAGGCGGAAAAAAGACCCTTCGCCGCCAAGGAAGGGTGCTCGTCATATCTCTGAGGAGCCCCAGGATACCTCGCCACCCAGGAGGCGCATGAGACATGATTCAGAGGAGCCCCAGGACATCTCGCCACCAAGGAGGCGTGTGAGACATGATTCGATGGAGTCTAAAGACATTTCTCCACCTCGGCGACGGACACGGCATGACTCAGAGGAGCCCGAAGACATCTCACCACCACGGAGGAGGAAGCACCAGGACCAGCACCAGGACCCTGATGATGATTTGTCACCCCCAAGAAGAAATAATTTGGGGCAAAGTCGCAAATCTGCATCAGATGAGTTATCTCCACGTAAGAAGAGAGACATTTCTCCCTCAAGGAAGAGTAAAAAGGAAGGAGCCTCAAAACAGGTGAGGAAAGCTGGACTGATGACAGCAGAGGAAGTTAAAGAGGACATAAGAAAGATTAAGGAGGCTGAGATGGTTAAGTGAGTGACAACTTCACATCTTGGAACAGAGATGCTTGCCCATTGATTTAGATTTGTAATATATTTATTTGTCATTTTGTTATTAGGTTTGCGTCACAGGATCCTTCGCTGGTTGGGAAAGGGGCAAAGGCAGTATTCAGAGATAAGGAAGGTAGGATGAATGCATTATGCACATTGTACAGCTTGTATTGGCTGTTTACCCATATAATCATTCTAGTTTCTTATGCTACCATTGTTTTGTTGTTTTCCAGGAAGACGGATAAGTGAAGAAGAAATGCGCAAGGCAAAGGAACCTGAGAAGCCAAAGGTAGATAGATATTCTTCTTGATTTTCTATTTTCTAGTCTTATGTTTCTTGTCCTCTCTCCTCTGAAATATTCTGTAGTTAGTTGAATTGCAATTCGCAAATATGGCTCAGTTTATAGATTGGAAACAACTTCTTCTGCAACTTATTTATCTTGAACCCTGACATTGTGTAAATTAGGACATAGTTCTTGTTTTTTTTTCCCTGAAAATTAATTAATAAGTATGTCATGAAACTTCTTTCTTTCTGCCTGTGTCGTGAAGTGGAATTTTCTCTAAGCACCAAATGGTCAACTTTCATATGAGTAGGATGTATAACAATCAACAGGACACCAAATTACTGACCAATTAGCTTATTGTCAACAGCTACCCACACTTATAGTACCTATTAGTGTTAACAGTCAAAACAGATTGAAGGCTTATGACTGCAAATTTACCCTCTCTGGTACTTGTATTGTAACTATCTGTCCAAAAGCTCCTTTTAGCTAATGGCCCATGTTGTACTTATTGGCAGGAAATACATATAGAATGGGGTAAAGGGTTGGTTCAGAAACGAGAAGCTGAGGCTAGATTAAAAGAGATTGAAGCTGAGAAGAAAAAACCTTTTGCTCGAACAAGGTACCTAGGATATGGTGCCTATTTTTCTTTCCTCTACTCTCTGTCCAATTTAATGTGAATCTGTCTAACCTTCTCTTGCGTGTATTTGATGTTGAACTTTTTCTGCTTGCAGGGATGACCCTGAGCTTGACGATATGCTAAAAGAAAGAATCCGATGGGGTGATCCTATGGCTCATCTAGTCAATGTAACTGCACTGCTGCAATATTTGATTTTGAGTGGCTTGGTTCAATCTGTCAACACTTCGTCTATTTGTTTGTGGATAATGGCTGATATGTGTGCTAATGCATTGCAGCGGAAAGATCCAGAATTTATTTTGGAAGACTTGGGAGATGATGAAAAGATGAAAGAATCTGGCTTCATAGTACCCCAAAATGTACCTCCTCACAGCTGGCTGAAACGTGGAGTGGATGCTCCTCCAAACCGCTATGGCATAAAACCTGGTCGTCATTGGGACGGCGTGGATCGCAGTAATGGTACGTTCCTTGCAATGTCACTATCAACTTTATCTTATAGCCTCATGCAGCATGTGAGTGGTAAAAGAAGATTACTGGGGTTTGAATATCACTACCATGTGTATATGTAGGCTTGTATCACAGTAGTTTAGGATTCACGTTGTGCTTCTGTGGAGATTTTGCATGATGTTTCTTTTAAGAGATTGTAGTGTATTGGTTGCATATATAGATTAGGCCTGTTCAACCATGGTTTAAGCTGGTTTTGGGGACCAGCGCCGATCAAACCGTTTGTTGCCGGGTTAGACGGTTGGTTTTGCGGGTTGAACAGTTTAAGCCCAGTCGTCTCCTTCCTCGAGCACATGCACGGGCTGTCGCATGATGCTGACTGTCCCAGAGGTCACTGTTGGCTTCTCTGTGCGTGTGGTGTCTTCGCGCTCTGGCTGGGCTTGAACACTGGTCATCACCAATTTCTGGTCGACACCGTAGAAAAGCAGCTGCAATTAATGAGTCCAAAAGGTTTCGCTTCTTGTTCCTGCACTTTGCTGCGATGCCCCTTTCCTCACTATGGCATCGCAAGTAGTTAACTCCTTCCCACATTGTTTTGATCCTCTATAGGCCTTCATTAATTCCTCCCAGTTTGTGTTTCGGCGATCATTGTGTGTTCAGAGATGGCGGGCATGGTTTCGTTGGTTCACTTGCAAACCAGGCAAACCCGCACGAAACTGTACATATGGTTTGGTCTGGACTCTGGACTGGTTCTGGAGGTTGAGCGGTTTCGCACCAAACTGCGAACAGGGCTAATATGGATTAGTCATTTGTCTGTGACAAAAGGAGAAAGCTCATCGTTTTAACCTGCCCAACAACTAATAGTCATGTGCTTGGTTTCTGTTTCCTCACGCGATTAATCAGTTTGTTCATTTTCATATCAACTAGCTTGTTTAATTGTATATCCACTGGGTTTTTCTGAGCTTGGCAGAATATGCCATCTAGCCATGTGTCCATATAAGAAATGTGGTTTCGAGCTTAACACAATGTGCATTCTCATTAGTGCGAATTTCATTGGGTAGAGTAACCTGAGAGCCCGTTTACAATTGTTGGCAGAATATTAAATTTCAAGCAAGAAATGTCTGGATGAACATGGTTAGGAAGCATAAGATAAACTCTGAAAATACTTGCTATCAGTTTGCAGGGCATATGTTGCTTGTGTGCTTTCAAAATTTTATCCTTCTGGACAGTTTGTAAATCTGGTAGCTGGTTATAATTTCACCTCCATTTTTTGTCTCCAGGATTTGAGAGGGACATGTTCAAGCTGAAGAACGAGAAGCAAGCAATGGAGCAAGAAGCCTATCTTTGGTCTGTCTCAGATATGTGAGCCCAATTGCTGTTCCTTACGAGAGGACTACTGTGCTCTAAAGGAAGAACCAATGGAGACCTTTCACACGATTTTTTTTTTCTTACACCAAATGATATCATTAGTTAACGTGCTGGTAGCTTGAATATTTTTTTCCCCTGGAAAGCTCGATAAAGCTGCATTACGTATTTGTTGGAAATCTCAAATCTGTTACTGCTTGTACCCTTTGTCATCCTTCACATTTTGTAATATAGACGAACGTACTGCAAAAAGCGCAGGTTTTGGAGTAGTTCAAAAGATGAGATTTTACTCGCCCTGTTGGACCGATGGTTTCTGTGGTTGATAAGCTGGTTGATGTTGTTTTGTTGTGAGAGAAAATATTGTACCGTGGCTAATAAGTAAGGCTGATAAGTTCAAGCGAATAGGGCTGATAAGCAGGACTGATAAGTTCAAATGTACCGTCACTTTTCTGGTTTCCATGTGTATAGCTTGTTTGAGCAGCTGTCGCTGACTCACTGTTTAAATTATGGAATACTAGATATATGCCCATGCATTGCACAGAGGCTAGATTTTTTTTTGATTAAACCTCAGATGCGGACGCATGAGCACCGAGGACTTCGTATTAGACATGGACACGTGGATCCGATCTTCGTATTAAAACCACGCAGGATGTGGACATGTGAGCTCCTAGGACTTTGTGTCAGATACGGCCACATGGATTCGGAACTAGTTAGGACGTGGATGCGTGAGTTCTGAGTGAAGGATAATTCGTATCAGACACGTACACGCGAGGAGGGTTTGAGATTTGGTACGCGAGGAGGGTTTAAGATTTGGTATCACCAGGTAGATGATGATTTTAGAGTCTTTTTAGGTGTACTGGATGAATTAACGCACGGAAAAAACTGTGTCACAGTAATGTAATTATGAGCGAGTGTGTTTTACTGTTATCCAAGAAAAGAAGAAGCGCGTACCGTGTGGTGGCCCGTTCCGTAGCCGGCTGCCAGCAGCGAGGCGACCTAAAATCGCTCAAAGGAAGGTTTCTGATCGATGGCGCAGGGCGACGACGCACGGGAGCAGATGCTTCAAGTCCCTCCTCGAGTGCTCGTGGAGCTCATCGCGACGATGACCGCTGCGCCACCGAACACGCGCTCCTCCTGCTCAAGCGCCCGTGCAAGTGCCCGGAGGGCCTATTCGTCTGCGGAGCACGCGCTGGCACTGCATGTCGGGCCTCGCTAATAGCTAGATGATGAGCGGCGGCGTGATGAAGCTGCTGGCGGGGTTGGACGCCGGCCTCCATGCCCGCTTGTTCTTGTCGCTTTCAGCCGACGAGTTTGCGCCGATATATATATGTCGATCCCAACGTTTGATGATGTTTGCATGTGGGCATGCACGGTACGGTCTCCGCTTCGTACTGCATGTTAGCATGTACAAGTTGTACAAGTCTTCCAATGCGTGAGGTGCATATTTGTATGGTTCCGTCTTGCTTCGTATTGTACGTGGACATGCACGGTTCAGTTTCGTATTTCATGCTCGGGATCAACGGAGCGGGGCGGGGCGCAGGAAGAGATTAAACCGATCAGCCCAGCTCGTACGTGAGGCTGCCGACCGTCCCGACGAGGCTGTTGAGTGCTGACCGTTTCGGATGCGAAGTCGCAAACTGTGTAGAACTGGCTCCGACGCGTACTTCGTAGAACTGGGCGCGATTTTGGATTTCAGACTCGGTGCGGCCGGATAGTGTACGTATTTGGCCAGATAATATACGTATTTGGTACGACTTTGGATTTGTGGTGCAGAGGAACGGCAGCCGGATAGTGTACCACAACCGGATTCCCCTCCTAGCTCTCGGCAAAGAGGATTTCACTCTCGGCAGATCATTTGCCGAGAGCTGCTCTCGGCAAAGAGCGGTCGGCAAAAGGTCTCCCGGCAAAGGTTTATTTGCCGAGAGCCCCTCTCGGCAAACTCTTTGCCGAGAGCAAAATAAAAACTCTCGGCAAAACCTAACTCTCGGCAAAATATCACCGTCAGAATAAAGAAACCCGCCCGTAACGGTCGTCGTCTATACACTTCTTTGCCGAGAGCAACTCTCGGCAAAGAATTTTTTAAAAAAAAATAAAATAAATTATGGGGCTGAGGTGGTTTAAAAAAAAAAACTTCTTTCTTTGAGAGCCAGCCATTTCGGCAAAGGAAAGGTTTGCCGAGAGCCGACTCTCGCAAAAAGAAAGCTTTCTTTGAGAGCCCTAGAATATGCTCTCGGCAAAGAGTCATATTTGCCGAAGCGTTAGGTGCTTTCGGCAAATCTTACTCTTTTTGCCGAGAGCCCGATTAGTTGGGCTCTCGGCAAATATTAGCTCTCGACACAAAGAGTCCAGAGAGCATTTTTTTATTTTTGTTTATATTTCCAGCTTCAACATCACATATTTCACAAATATAACACATCATATATATCACAAATATCACATATTTAACAAATATGCCATCCACATCACATGTCTCACATAATCCATCTTAACATCTCAAATCCAACAGTTCATCTCACAAAGTGCACGACAATACATTATGAAGAGCAACAAGCTCACCCCAAGCATCCCAGTCCCTCGACCCTCCCTCCGTGCATTTCTGCTCTTCATTCTTGGCGGTGGATATGCTGGTACCCCGACGCTCCCGATGGCTCTGCGATCTGGTGTGAAGTGGTGGATCTGGCGCGATGCCACGACCCTCCCGACAACATGTGCTGAGGCCCCTCATTCGAACCCGCCGATTGATTCTCGCATAAAGGAGAAGAAAAATTAGTAATTATAGTAATACTAAGGCATATAATTGTAATCTAAGCGTACACAAGTCAATATTTGCGAACTAGGTATAAAATTGAAATCTAAGCCTAGACACATCAAAATTTTGGCAAAAGACTCCCCCCGCGGTGGGGTTTCCAAAACCTACAAGAAAACTAAGCAGCACGATGGCCGTCCACCACATATCAACGGCGAGATGGCGGCACACATATATATGAGCGGCACGAAGGCCTCCCATCACATATCAGCGCACGATGGCCGACATGCACTGAGAAAGAGCTTTTGTTAGAGAAGTTGAACTCACGGATGGGTAAGGTGGGTATGGGTAAGGCGGTGGAGGAGCGAACAGCTCTGGTGGCGCTGGGCGACCCATCGTGGACGCCAAGACTTGCCGCATCTTGAGCCAAGGCGTCAAACCTCGTCCGCTCGGCCTCCAACCTTTGTCGCTCGGCCTCCATCCTCGTCGCTCGGCCTCCCGCGCTCCTCTATCGCTCTTCCTCCATCCTTGCCTTATGCTCCGGGCGCAAGCACTGGGCTGTAATTTTTCACCGCATTGTTACAAGCAATTTCGAGGAATGTAAAACCAAAGAACGACGAATAAAGCAGAAATAACTTTGTAGTGATGCCACACGATGCGTCGAAGTGTCCCGCCTTGGGCGTATGGGACGCACGCTACGCTTCGTCTTTGCTTGTCCGGACACGTGAGAGAGTGGGAGTCGTGTCTTGGTCGAGCGCGTCTTTGTTGCCGATGAGGTACCGCCCATGCTTCTTGCCTCCTCCCACCCTCATGACGATGTCGCCGTCAATGTCCGCGGTGTGCGGATCCGATCTACCCATGGACCGTCCTTGCCGCCTCGGTATCTTGGACCGATGCGCTCGGGGATGCTCTCGTTGGTGAAGGACTCATTTGGGTCGTCCGGGTTCTAATCGATTTTCGTCTGTCGCCTTACCCTTGTGGGCGTAACCCATGACTTGAGCTCTCCGCATGGCTGGTTTTGATGTGCGACCGATGCGCGAAAAAAACAACAAGACGGTTACAAATCATGCAGGAATAAGCGTCTGAAAGAATAATTGAAGCTACACCAAGTCACGTACCCATCTTGCCCCGTATTCGTGGATGTTAAGGTTGCCCTGGTGGTGTGATACACCTGGCATCAGCAAAACGCCATTCCGGAGGACGGTGTGGTTATCCGCCTAATCGGCACTCACCCACCGTCGACCATCATCTTCCAGGCCCGCGTTTTATTGGCGCATCCGGCTAGAGGCACTGTGACGACATCAAGTACATTGATGATATAAGAACAATTCAAGCTACCCAATCTCGGAAGAAATCAATATTGATGTTGTATATTTACCTTGAGTGTATCGCTCTTTGGTCGGATGCATTAATCTTGCATCTTCTTTCTTCACCTTCCGAGCCTCGTGAGGCGGCACGATGAATCGATGATGGCACGGAGCAGCGCGCCTCGTAATGCATGTCCGAGATGCGGCATCTAAAAGATTTGGCCAACGCCTTGGTCGCCCTCTCCTCGTAGCCCTCGGCGCATCTAAAGAAGTCCTGCATATAGAAAAGATGTATCAATACACTGGTTCAACAAACTCTGGCGAATGCAATGTATTGAGCAAAGTAGTGGGAGGAAGACTTACCCAAAACTCGGTCATAACCCGCTCCGCCACGCTGTCGTACATGTGGCCCGTCTCTTCCTCCGCATCAGGGGCGCTGACGTAGTGCTCATACGTGTAGGCCAGCTCTCGTGCTCCGACGTGGGTAACCAAGCTTGGGAAGTGTTCCCTGCAGAGAAGACCCATGATGCCATTGGGCAACCTTTTGTGAGCACCTGGGACCACGACCTTCCAAGACCTGCGTAAGTGATTAAGAAAAAACTGTTAGTTTCCATTGTGATTCTATCATATGTAGTAGCAAAAAATATAAAAGTTACGTACTTTTGCCCAACGGGTCGAATGACCGGGCGTAGAGCCTCAGGTATCGGCCGATCAGGTAGTCTCGCCGCACCTCGTTGGTAGACACCCGAGGTTGCGGTGGAACTGGAACCTCCTGCCTCGGCCTCCTGCTCGTCCAGCTGCTCGGCCTCGTGCTCGTCCAGCTGCTCGTCCTCGTGCTCGGCCTGCAGCTCGGCCTCTCCTTGCTGAGCCTGCTCGTCCACCTGCTCCTCCTCCAGCTCCTCCTTGGGCTCTGGTGCTGGTGCTGCTACAGGCTGAGGCGGTGGCGCC